TGAAACTCCTACCCTAATCATAACAAAGTACCCGTTTTAATACAGTTGTATGAATAATTTCCTCCAGTCAAAGAAGGGATGAGCAGTATGTTTCATGAGATGTACTTCCGGATGTATGAGCAGCATTCTTCGAGTTATCATTGTCGGCTTCATTAGGCCATCTGAGAAAGTGACCCAAACTGCCGCTCTCATTCGAAAACATTCCAAATAGGTGCGCTAAAGCCTACAAAACATGTATAGTCCTGCATATGTGGACATATTTTCACACACACATAAGGGATTTACGAAGAAAGTTCGTTCAAGCAGAACATACAGGTTGTATATGGTGGTGCAAGAAGTTGAAATGGAAGTGAACGACAGAAAGAAGTGCTTTTCATAGACGTTTTCGTCGCGACAATCTCCCAGACAGTTTAAGTACAATTAAGGTGAAAAGTACAGTACCATCTTACGTTTGCAGCCGTTTTGATAGTTAGGTAACGCAACGTCTGTGTTTAGGATACAGAGAGTGAGTGCTTCCTTACCGAGAAAAGACTCCTCAAAGTAGAAAACACCATTTTTCGGATATCTCTGTAGGTTTCCATGTGTAAGCTTGCGCTACCTTGTGTGTCCTAACTTGCTTTCTACCACTGTTCTCTTGTTTCCTCAGGCCTTCTCAAAAATGAATTATTTCCAGTAAAACAAAACTTGAGACCCTTTATGGACGTGTCTTGTTTTTTCTGCACATATGCGTCTCATCTCCCACATTTTGTTTATGCACTCGGTGACACAAGCGTTTGAGGCAGTACCCGAAATACCCTCAAACAAACATATGCACACAAAGTCCTGTAAAGACAATCCACTATTCTGTGTTCTGCTCTTTGCTTCTCAAACACCGAGTTTTTAAGAGACTACATTACAGACAGCCTTTTCCCCACAGAGACTTCTTATAAGTTTTTCGTATTACTGAAAAGATATACTACTATCCTGCCACGCAGTAGAAACTGTCTATCTATCTATCTATCTATCTATCTATCTATCTATCTATCTATCTATCTATCTATCTATCTATCTATCTATCTATCTATCTATCTATCTATCTATCTATCTATCTATCTATCTATCTATCTATCTATCTATCTATCTATCTATCTATCTATCTATCTATCTATCTATCTATCTATCTATCTATCTATCTATCTATCTATCTATCTATCTATCTATCTATCTATCTATCTATCTATCTATCTATCTATCTATCTATCTATCTATCTATCTATCTATCTATCTATCTATCTATCTATCTATCTATCTATCTATCTATCTATCTATCTATCTATCTATCTATCTATCTATCTATCTATCTATCTATCTATCTATCTATCTATCTATCTATCTATCTATCTATCTATCTATCTATCTATCTATCTATCTATCTATCTATCTATCTATCTATCTATCTATCTATCTATCTATCTATCTATCTATCTATCTATCTATCTATCTATCTATCTATCTATCTATCTATCTATCTATCTATCTATCTATCTATCTATCTATCTATCTATCTATCTATCTATCTATCTATCTATCTATCTATCTATCTATCTATCTATCTATCTATCTATCTATCTATCTATCTATCTATCTATCTATCTATCTATCTATCTATCTATCTATCTATCTATCTATCTATCTATCTATCTATCTATCTATCTATCTATCTATCTATCTATCTATCTATCTATCTATCTATCTATCTATCTATCTATCTATCTATCTATCTATCTATCTATCTATCTATCTATCTATCTATCTATCTATCTATCTATCTATCTATCTATCTATCTATCTATCTATCTATCTATCTATCTATCTATCTATCTATCTATCTATCTTCTAATCTATCTATCTATCTATCTATCTATCTATCTATCTATCTATCTATCTATCTATCTATCTATCTATCTATCTATCTATCTTCTATCTATCTATCTATCTATCTATCAACCGGCCCGTCGGACCTTCCTAGTTATCTCTATATGGTTCAGTCAATAAAGCTCACAATAACCTGAGCAAATATGGGGCCAAGTGATGGAAACAAGTGTGGCTGAACAAATCTCCTCACTGCCATTAGTGAATAGTTCAGCGGGAGACCAACAATAATGACTCGGCTGCACAGTGCTTCTCGGCTTTCTAGCATACACTTGCTTAACCGGTAGGGAGAGATCTCTACAGAAAAACATGAGTGTGGTATCGATCAATCCGTCCCAGGAAACTAAGTTGTTCATTAGCACTGCGATAAAGGTTATGTTCGTGGCTTCTAGATAGAAAGGTTTGAAAAATGTCGGAATATGTTTAACAGACATGCGCTCAAATATTGCCATTCAGGTCCATCGATGCTGCCCAGCACTTGGGCTCTATAGTGTACGCTACTCGATTGGTTAGTTACAAATCCAGTCGTTCAGCTTTTTGTTGATCATCCCTGATTGGCTGTTGGCCATTAGTAGTGCCGCATGCTAAGCTAGGTAACTTCTGTCTATTGCTGCTAAATCCCAGACAATGGACAAACATCGGAGTTCACGTCAAAATGCTTGCTTCGATGTGTAAAACTGTACTAGTGTGAGGGGTAAAAGCCAGTTGACCAAGCTTCCTGTTGAGCTCCACTCCTTTTTTGAGGAAGATGGGAAATACCTTTATATTGCCAGAGGATTACAATCTGAGTGTTCGAATACCCACTTCAAAGGTAAAATAGGTAGAGACTTTCATGACATAGGACGCTAATTATGCTGAAAACTTACTGACAGTTCACGGTGTACCTTAGCGGGTGTGGGAGCTTATCATATTTGGGATAAATTCTATCCCACTGGGTACGACAGCCAGAATTCAGAAACTGGAAATCGACCCAGGCAATTTCTGAGTTGGCCAATTCACAGACCGATTTAAGAACCTTTTGTTGCAATACAGCCATTGAATTACAGGCTGTGCAGCGCCTACCAAAGTAGCAAGGACTGACGGCGTTCGTGATTGAAACTGCTTGTATTCTACTCTTTGAGTGCATAGCTGACCACAGAATTTCCGGCTCGACAAAACTAGCAACAAAAAAGTTGTCGTGATTCTTGTGAAAACTGATAAAAAATGACAGAACAATCTTACGTAAATGATGTTGTCAGTATCTAACGAGCCTAGGTCGTCATATAGGCAGTCTAACTAGCCAAAAAGGAGCGAAAAGAGTGATGGTACTAGATTATTCCTTTAATGATAAACAGACTATTCTCCTACAGGATATTATAGAATTTTGTGTAGTCCAGAAGTGATACCGTGTTTATTGAGAGTAGGCTTAGATAAAGGGTACATTTCGGTGAAAAACTTCCGATTGTAACTTTACTCTGGGAATGGGAAATTCTCCTATTTTGGCACTACGAAATGCTTCCTTATGCTGATGAATTAGCCATAGTTCTGATGACTGAATGCAGCAGCATTAAACAGAAACCAGTCTTGTTCTGTTCCGGGTCATTGGAATTCGAAACAAACCAAACTAATCTGCCCTCCGCATTGGCTTGTTTATGATTCTGGCAAGCATGCAGGAATTCTGTTACCGTTCTGCCTGAAAACACCCACAAATTTAACGTTCTGTTCCCTGCATTTGGTGAAATAATGATAGCATCTTAGCCGCGAAAACTGATGGGGAAAGCTGGGTTTGACCAGATCGTCAAAATTTCAGAATATTCAGTGATGCGTTTCAAAAGTTTATTGTATCAGTTTGTACCAATTTTGCTGTTTGTTTCACATAAAATTACAGTATATGTTAAAATATTTTCCTGTCAAATCGAAACTGGGTAAATCCGATATGGGACTGTGTGGAGTTGGATTACTTTTTTGACTTCGCTAAATGCATTTTTGGCAGCGTGAAACAAACTCAATTATCGAGCACTTTAGAAGATTAGTCTTTTGTCGATAAATAGATTTATACTACAAGACTATTCAGTACAAAACTTTGCATTTAGAACTCTACACAATAACGCAAAGAATGATATCACTTCATGCTTATCGATCGTCCAGCGTGGACTACGGGTCGATTCGAGAGAATTTCATGCCTGATGAAGGAAGTTTCATTCAGCTGTGTAATCATCTTAAAAATAATTCACAATACTCAAGAGTTTGATGTTAGGTGAGATCTAACAACGAATTTTATGTGCACAAAAGGTAACAATAGTCAGGTTTTGTCAACTCCAGAACTGATTCCCTCCTGTACTAAGGATTCCGTTGATAGACAAATGACTACCGAGTATTGTTAAACAATATTTAATCACCCAAAACCTCTATAACTTATTACCAAATCAAACATACCAAAAATTCGGAGACTAGATGAAACACTGAGCACTGGGTCGCCAACAGGGCTAGAATAGATTTTGATTTCAGGCCACAGGGGTGGAGTAGAGAATAATTCAATGTCTTCTCTGATATAAGGTCTTTTTAGTGGGGAGGAAAGAACTCTTTTTGAATAAGTCGGTTCTAAATGATGGGTTCGTCTGTGACGAAATCATTTTTGATACCAAACAGGAAAACAGTTATTTTTAGAATGTTTTATCCAAAACTTTGTTTGTCAAACTAACGTCAGAAAGCCGGTAAGCTAAATTAAGTATTTATACCGCTCATTTTTGCCAATCATGACAGTTCTGTTGCCGATTTGCAGCAAAAAAGCAACAGGTAGTGTTTCTTCTATGGCAAACGTTAAGTTAAATCACAAAATCTGTGAACCTACGATGAAATGATATCACAAGGCTATATGCAGATGGGTTTGTACAATAACTGAGTCAAGGCATGCCAGCCTGCACCCGATTACAACAGGAGTTACACCAACCGTTGCATATTTCCGCATCTAACTTGTACAATGCACATCAGATTTCAATGACAATGGATCAGTTAATGCAACCTGGCTTACAGCCGGAAGCACATAGGATTAGTCGAGAACCAGACAACGCAGAGTCAACGCGAAACTTCAATCGTTCTTCTAATTTCAGGTTGTTGCAGAATACGAAAGAGCAGTGATATTTCGTCTGGGGCGGATCGTACCCAAAGGAGCACGTGGACCAGGGCTGTTTTTTGTCGCGCCGTGCATTGACAGTATTCGCAAAGTGGATCTGCGGACAGTGACTTTTGATGTACCACCTCAAGAAGTGAGTCATACCGTCATTTATTCTAATTTAGCCGCCAAATGCTGTTGTGTGCACGTGCTTGTGCCGTAAATCCGACACCAGATCTTGTTGAACAGCTGGCGAAACAGAGCTGCGAATTTGGTGACTTTCTGGTTCGAATGGTAAACAGTGTGTCTATCTGATAAGCATGTGTTTACATAATGGCATGTCTTTCATTTTCCAGTAGAAGTAAAAAGGCCTATGGAACTCAAGGGTTTGACAATATAAATTGGTAGTACTTTGTAAGATACTCCGCCTCGGCTAAAACCAGAAAAGCGCCTTTTGTAGAAGTGCTTAAAACCTAAAATTTTGCAACTGTTCTCTATGTCATTTGTCTTTTTCACGTTTTCAAGAAAGCGCATCTACAGATGACGAAGAAATTGGGGTCATTATGTTTGAAAACGACTAGCAGCCTTCGGAAAACGAGATTGTGGGACATGTATGAAACTCACGGTAGTCTGTCAGCCACATATCATGTAATGCACATTCTCTGCAAAAGTTAATTGACCCTGTGGTATGCATGACGTTACTACCACAGGGTAGTTTGTAGCTGGCACCACCGGTACAAGTCAGTAACCCTGCGGCATTTTCACAAGACAACATTATAGATCAAAAAGACCATCAGGTAACAACGTGAAACAACTTCTGGTTGTTCTAGATCGAACCTGCTTTTTAACAAACTAGCAGCTGAGGAGTTCAGCCCCACATTTCTGGTGCTAGCTCTGAGAGTTGCCATGCGAATCCAATCCTGGTGATATTCGGAACGGCGGTGCATATTCAAGGGATAGCTGACCCATTCGTATTAGATCGTAATTCCAACACAAACATATATATATATATCCTCGTTTGCCAACTATACCACCACCCCTCTGGCAACAAACAATGCCATACTGTTGAGGATATTGTTGTTGCTGATGTTGAGGATGGCAGTGCTAGAACTTACGATGCCCGGTGCCTCAACTTTATTTCCCTTGAGTGCTCTGTGTTCCGATATTTTGTATTCCATTTGCAAGTATATCTGGTACTTGCTCGAAAATGTCAAAATTTAACGCTCTGGACATTCCGTTGTATTAAGCACATGACTATGCCAGATGTGACCATGAGTAAATATTGTTGTACATACCAAGGTTTGTAAGTGACCATATTTGTTCATTTATATCCACTTGACTCGACAGTTGTCGGTCCCTAAGTGTGAACGATAGTATCTTTGGAACTGTACGTTCCTGTTAAATCTTCGGTCTTATCCTCTCTGGTTTATACTAAGTAAAATGTGTCGAGCTAGATATCTGGCATGGGCTGCTGTGCTCAAGCGTACATCTTTGTGGTTCGATAGGACGTACAAGGCCCAAACGGATGACAACCCACTGCACTAAATGTGAACTTGCTCACTGTGATCAGTTTTTTAACATCTTTGTGGTTCGATAGGACGTACAAGGCCCAAACGGATGACAACCCACTGCACTAAATGTGAACTTGCTCACTGTGATGTGTGCAGTTTTTTAAAAAAAAACTTTCGTGAACTTCTAGCACTAATGACTGGAAATCCTATAATGTCATGAGCCTGTATATTACCCAGGAAGTAGGCAAACATCTGAGCACCGAATTTCTGAGTGGAATCATTATTTCCACAAGCTTATACCAAGTCCGCTCCTTGAGTTGGTTCTCCTCAAATTAGTCCATTTTCTGTCTTTCTAGTGGAGATTCTGGTTTCTGTTTCCTACGGTGGTCATGGAATTATCCCAGCTGTACACTTGGTAGATTTATGAGACAAAATATTCCGGCCATTTTATTGTTCAGATAAAAGATGATAACGAGTTGATGACGGTTTCCAGGGAAAACTGATCGGCCATTTTCTCGTTGACATTGTAAATTTTTATGCCAACCTGCTGCATACCTGGAACAAATCAACACAGCCCAGTGGAGCTAACCTTGGCTAGTGGTAAAATAACTGAATAAGAATAATTAAAGAGGTGAACTCAACGAAGGAAACTTTTAAAAGTTAGCATAGGCGCTATTCTACTCCTATAAGGATAATAAATTTTCTTATTCCGAAATCCTGCGCAGCAGCCCAGGCTTTTGAACACAACCTGACTGGACAAGACGACTGCGAGAAAACAGCGTGACACAATAATATTGTGTGTCAAGAGGCAACACTGTCAAAAGCGCAAGCGGAAATCTCACAGAAACATAGGGTTGGGGCGCAGAGGAAAAGTCTTCTCCGTCGTTCGGCTCTCTAATTAGAAAAAAAACGCAATTTTTGGCGCATGACGAATGACATTCATATCAAGATTCTGAGAGTTGTAGGCCTCATTGTGTTCCTACAAAATGGATGCTGAGACAGTTTGAGTGACTTACAGGATGAAAGAGAAAAGTATTAAATTTTTAAAATTCTGCTTTCTGCAAGATATCAGCGGAGCCGAGCCTCATGTTTGTGTAAATATTCAGTTTTTTATGACAAACAAGACGAGACCGGATGTTGTAGAATTAGAAAAGCCGTGGAATATCTTGTAAATTACGCAAGAATCAGCCTGTCTCAGCCTCTTGGAAATTACTGCTGGACGAGTCGATTGAATAGTTCACAGCACACGGTCGGGTATCAAATAAATGCTGTACCTATTTGAAATACAGTTTGTTCTTATGTAAAATTCTCATTAGTTCTTTGATATACTTGGAAGTAAATATGCGGCAAAATGAGGAAAGCCAATAATAAGCTATGGAGTTGTTTCCACCAACCAGGTACGTTATGTGAACAGAATATACTTCAATATGTCGAATACCGTACCAGTTGACACACAAGGCAGCCTGCTTTTAGCAAATTCAGTTAAAATATATCATAAATGAAAAGTTCATTCGGGATTTAGATGAACCTTCGTTACCACCACTTTAACTTCCGCATGGGTGTGTTTCATCAACAGCACTGACAACTTAGTAATAGCACTTCAAAGGGACGGCCAAGATTACTCATCTCATCTGTGCGATGAAAGGCCACTGGGCTTGTGGGAATATGAAGCTTTACAATGAAAAGCGTTGGTCATTGACATATCTGAGTAGAAAACATTTCAGGTATCCCTAATCCAAACAGAAAATCCATTCACGCGTTCCTATCGACTGATTCTTAGTGTGTAAAAGATGAGTGTTTTGGTAAAACCGCTTCACAGTAGGTGCGTGAAACGTTTTTCCAGAAGCTTACGAGGTTTCAATGTAGTTTTTAAGAAAAACGAATTTTTTTACCTTTTTAAGGAGGATACCGCAACAAGAACATGTTGGAACGAGGTATTCTCGGAATTTCCTGGACTAGCCCTCAAGGAAACAAATCTAGCTTTGCTACCAATTGTTTTCCAATTTCTCTAATGGTAACTTTGATATCTCCGTAGATAACTTCACTTTGTACCAGCTTATATATATTCATAGCGACTTTCTGAATAGCAGATACGTACTTAACAATGGACGGTATTAGAGCTACCTGATGAAGGCTAGCGTTGGAGGATACAACGGTCTACTTGAAATTTTATAACGGATAACTGGACGATATGTAAATATATTTGTGATTCTCTTGCTTCGGTTGGAACAATCTGAAAAGGCACTCATGCAGCATAATGAAAAATGAATAGCAACATGAAAGCACATATTTATTTTGAGAAAAACAAGACTTGGTCCATTAGACTGGCTAGTCCACGACAGCTGGTGAATTTTTGGTAGGAAGACTAAGAAAACTGGAAGAACCCTTTTCATGTTGAAGCAAACTAAATAAAGAAATCTGGTAGTATATTACAGGTTTATGCTCAGTGTTTCGTGCAAAGCGAATAGAATATGGAAAACTGAAAATGTTTAGCAAAACTAGGAGTCTTAGACGTTTGGTGTACTTGTGACACTTCACCTAGTAAGCGGCAAGAATTTAATGGGAGATTGGAATTTTGACCTTTCTGTGACCAGTGGGCGTTTTTAGTTCTTCATACTCTGCCAGACAAATGGTGATTTAACTCTTCAGCACATGAATATTACCCCCGTTTTTCAATCCCATTTTTTCTAGGGGCTTAGGCTAAACCAGTTTCAGAGACAAGTTTGCCACATTCGAGCACAGGATGTGATGACTTTTGTAACGAGCGGTTTTTGTCAATTTTTCTGTCACGTTGCATTGACGTCGCAAAGCTACCTGTCACTATTTTGCCAGTAGTCAGTAGCGGATGTATAATCGCTAATGGAGATACACAATAACGGGAAGAGCTGTTTGTAGCTAATACTAAAGCTGTCTTTACAAATTCTGACAGTTCGAACAGTTTGAAACACAATGCGATGTCTATAAGGTAGCCAGTTCAACGCCCTCTCGAGAGGCCTGTCTGGCTTAAATTATACGATCGGAACTGTGGTTTTTGCAGTCCACCATCATATCATAAGCTGTTCTGTGAGATCAACAGATCAAATAGTCACCGCTGTGTATCATACAGACGAAAGTGTCCAAAAAGTTTCATCGCTTTCTTAGAGGAATGTGGGTAAACTTCTGTAAGTAAAGTTAAAGAAAGGTAGCTATAAAATACTGATGTAAAGCGTTTCCATGTTTCATTTAGACATTTAAGACGGCAAAACTGCAATCCAGTTTGGCTGAAGTTAAAACATTCTTGCAGATTGTTTTACTGTCTCTTTTGCAGTTTTAAAACCAATTACATTTGACTGTCTGCATGAACAGCTCTATGGTGTATTTACTTGACTGTTTGAGGATCCGATTGACAATAAACAGCCGTTTATACAAATTTTGTTACATTTTTTTACCCTTATTTTACATTTCCACTTATCTCTCAAGTTTACCGATTGACCTTTATGGCTGCTTGTTCAACACCATGTATCATGGTCTATACCCCTTTATGAAGAACCGACTGTGTTTAATTGTGTTTCGTCCAAAACTGTTTTCCAACATTCTGCTATACAGACCCAATGAACAAACGAATCAAACGTTAGAGTGACATCCAGGTAGTTGGTTTTTCAAG